TAATTTCCAGTTTACAGGAAATACAGGAGGGAGGAGCAAGTTTAAAAACACAACATGAAGAAGTGATCAGACAAATACAGAATGTGGAGTACCTTACAAAACAACTGGCTGAACTCTTCCAAAAGTCAAACTCTTAAAAAAAAAACTGGAGGGGCAAAGAGGGTTCAAGGGAACTGACTTAGATTAAAAGTGAGTTAAAAGATAACCAAATGTAATGTTTAAACCTTGATTGGGCTGTGATTTGAAATAATGGTTATAAAAACATTTCTGGCACAACTGAGGACATTTGCATGTAGACTGAACATTAGGTGAAATTCTGGAACCATTAATTATCTTAGGTAGTACTATGGTTATATAAAGACTGTTCTAAAGACGCATGCTGAGTATTCACAAGTGAAGAGTAGTCATGGTGGTGCCACAAAGACACATACAACACACACACCACAAAACGTCAGGCTGTTGAATCTAAGCTAAGGGGAGAGAGTGTTCATTCTTTCACCAGTTCTGTAATTACGAACATTTTCATAATAAAAGTTTGGGGGAAATTATTAAAATGAAACACAAAATTCAGTCTTCAGAGACAAATCTTACTCAGAGTTCATGGACTCCAGTTTGAGAATTACTGACCTAGCTAATTCATCTTTTTATCTTCCAGTGTCAACTCAAGATAATGGAATACTTCCAAAAGGCAAGAAACTTACCAGTCCCTTATGCATGACAGCAATAATACAAGTTTGACATTACAATACAAGGATTGAAATGAAGAGGCTATCAAGAATTCAAACCCAATTCAAGTGTCCCTCAAAACTCATCAATGTCTGTCTCTGTCTCACTCACACACACTCACACTCACACTCACACACACGCACACACACACACACACACAAATATGGGTGCATGTCAACCGAGGGAAATCTAAATTAGCTCTGTGGACTAGATGAGTGCCACTTTCCAGTGGCCCGCCTGGTTCAATGCCATGTGGGTGCAAAGTATAATGGTACGGCCTCATTTGCTATAAGCCAGCAGTGGAGTCCAGGTCAAATCCTCAGCATGTAAAAGCAATCATTTGCCTTGCTTTGTTCTGTGCATGACTTCAGTCATACTGAGACAGGGACCGTGGGTGTAGCCAGAGTAGGGTGAGGGCCTCCGGAAAAAAGTAAGGCAGGATATTTGCAGTCAGAGCAATGTAACTACATGCAAGAAAACTCCCTACTAAAACTCTGTGTTAAACATTAAGTGCTAAGAGTCATTCTTCAGTGAGATCAGTTGGTGAACCCCAGATAAAGAAGAGTAGCACATGTTTATTTCATGTCAATCATTTATAATCATGTATAAGATTCTCTTTAACATGCTAAAAGGCCCAGACCTACGAGCTGTCTTTCCTCCTTCAGATCTGATGAGGTGATTTTGCAAACTGGGCAAACTAATTTAGCATGCAGGCCCAGCCAGAACACAGTAAAAGGCAAGAAGGGTTCCACCTTAAAGATAAGATTGCACTTAACTTACTCTTTAGCAAACAATGCCTCAGCCCACCTTGGGGGCTGAGCAGGTGGCCCTGTTTCATATGCCCCCAGACCAAGAGGCTGGTATCTCAGGGAGGAATGAACAGAGCAGGAGGTTCCTTGTATCAAGCTAATTGTAAATATACTAGGACCACTTAATAAGTCCACACCCCTAAGCTTTTTTCATGTTCTCGAAAAATCCTCATCTGCCCATAAAACCCCCTAGACAAGGCACCACCCCATACTCTTGTCCCCTCCTGGCGTGAGCCGGGAGCTCCGTCCTTTCACCTTATCTCTAAATAAAAGCCTGTACCTTGCTCTCCTACCTTGAGTGTTTGTGAAGCTCATTCTTCAGCTTCGTGAACAAGAACCCTGGCATCAACACTGTACTACAGATATTTAAGACATCATTGCTAGCAAGAACTGGGTGGAGGGCACATGGGATCTCCCTAAACACTTTTCTGCCAATTACTGTGAATCTGTAATTATTTCAAAAATAAAACATATTATAGATCTCATGTCCTGGTTATGTCCAGTTTGAACATATCTTAACCTGCTCCTTAAACCCTTCCCACAACCAGTAAGATAAACAACAAACTTTCTTTAAAAAGACCCCTTCAAGATTCTAAAGACAGTCAAATCTTAAAATTGTTACAGTCCAAGAAGAAATATAACAAGATCTGTATGTCTCTTCCGAATAAATGCCTCTATTCCAGACCCCTTAGTCTCCTACACAGACCCCCTCTGTCACTTCACTCCAGGGTGAAATGTGAATTCAGCTGGCTTTGCTTTCCAGGATCACATAATCAAGTAAAGCAGGTGAAGTGGAGTCAGTGCAGCCAGTCTAGAATACATTCATTCAGGACTGCCAACAGTTGACAGCCGGGGAGAAGAGCAGCCAGGCATTTACCTTCCCACACCTGCTGCTCTTCTGGCCTTCTGAGCCTGGGGTATAACTCATAGCCTGGTAATTGTCCCTCAACTTCTCCTAATGAAGAGGCTCAAGAGGCAGGCAGGTCGGTCTGTGTGATTTTTCCCAGAAATAAAAACACTCACACCTTTCTGCTCTCAGACAAAACTGAGCATGTCAGAAACCATGCAGAATTCTACTCTCATCAACAGAACCGCTCCGACAGCCTCTTCTGCTGGAGCTGAAGCTAGAAACACCAGCTCCAAGTTCTCCCTCACTCCAGCCTGCTCCCTCATGCTCCCAAGTCCCACCCAGGCTGATGCCTTCAATTTTACAAGAGTGAGAGGCCCTTGGTACAGGGGCAGACAAAGGCATGTCTTCCAGGGTGCCAGCTGCACTACATCCTCTATGCATAATCAATACTTGCTCTGAGTACTCTGCACAGAGGTCACTCTGTATAGAGGTCACTGTATCAAACCAGCACAGAAGAAACATTGAAGGCCAATATGGTAAATGGCTGATTTGGTTTGTATTTGTTCTAAAGACTCACAATCTGGTTTTCATTATATCTGAACACATGGGTTTTGCATCATTATTTTTAAAGGAGACCTGGAAAATGAGATTTTCCAACATGTCCTGATTTTTCAGACAAGGAAATACCTTTTGTATAAACTGAACAAAAGGAGAATATAAAAGCATCTATTGCACACAGGTATGTATTTTACAGCTATGCTCACAAAGATGATAAAAAGGAAACACTGCGAAGTACCAACAATGGTTATTTTAAGGGGTGGAAATAAAAGGATTTACTTTTTAAAATAGTTTTCTATATTTTACAGTTTTCTTGGTTAACAGTGATCATGTGTTGAATACTTTACTCAGAGCCAGGCTCAGCTGAAGAGGACCTCTGTAGAGAAGACAAACCTCACAGATTCCACCTGAGATGTGAAAGGGGGCATAGGCTGGCTGGCCACAACAGCTGTGTAAGCCAGGGGTGCACTGGCTGAAGGGAGAGAGAAGCTCCACTCTCAGGACTTCCAAAGGCTTCATTAAATTCCGAAAGACTCCATCTAACACAGCGCCCCCAAGTCTGCTAGTGACCAAGTCAGGCAGTGTGGTAATACACGTCCAGGAAGGCAGGCTTCTGCTACAGCACTTCCCAGTTCCCAGCGCAGCACCAGCAACTGGCAGGGTGTGAATGAGGCTTGGAGGCTCACCGCACTCAGGATGGGTGGAAAATAACTCGACCACTGTATTTAAATTACAGTAAGTTAGAAGGTACTGCTTCTTCACCACTCCTTAGAATAATCTTAAAAATAGTATTTGACTGGAAAGCATCCAACTTCTCAGTGATTTGTACACGAAGATAGGATCACTCTAATGCAACAGAATACTCTGTATCACAGTAAGCAATCTTTTAGACATCCAAGCCAAGCAATGGTGCTTTTTCATTATCAAGTCCCTATTACCCCCTTTGACAGAGAAAAGAGCAGTCAGCTCATAAAGTATCACATCTTCCAATATTTGTATAAAGCATTATCAGCTGTCCTGTGATCCAGAGACAAAAATGTTTTCTAATTCCAAAAAGTGTGCACACTGCAGATAACAACCATGCTATTAGAGCCCAAGAGGAGAACAGGGCTGAGGAGATCTCTCTTGATTACATCATCACTGTTAACCAGTAGGTCCCTCAACAGACACAGATTTGAGGAGATTATATGACTTGATTTAAAGATACCCCAAATCCCCACGGCTACTGATTAACTCTAGAATCAGTGATATGTGGTGGTAAATCTTATTCATAATTAGTCAATTTAGAAGCAATCATGAAAGCACAAAGTAAAATTGCAGATAAAAGTAACTTAAGTAACTTAAGATATTCATTATAATCGACTTTTAAAAATTCAATATGGACTCACGCACATTATGTACATGCACACACACAGGCACATACAAACTTACTTTTTGTCTGAGTTAATCTCTCTTCTTTCCCATCCAAAATTACACAGTAAATCCTCATGTGACCACTTCAAGAACTATTTTCTGCTACTAAATTTTGCCAACAATCTGCTCAGTATTCTAGCAGATGTTTCTGTTTTCAAACCTCTGGGAACTTGGCTAAATCTGTTTTCTTTCCCCATGTTAAAAATAAAAGAAATGACCCAAATGTGGCCTAATACCCTAGAGAAGATTTTCCCTACCCACACCCCTCAGTCTCCCTATTCATGTGACCCCACGATCCTTTCTAGAATCTTCTCTTCCATTAGAGATGTTTCCAATTATGATCTATTATGTTGCCAAGGATGACATCACTCAGATGTGGTTTGGGTTTTTCTGTTTTTTTGGGTTTTTTTCTGTTTTGTTTTTTTTTTTAAGAAAATGCTACTGATTCTTAGTTACTTGGGGTCCCATCTGCAACAATTTAAGCCAACTAGTCTGCTAGATCTTCTGAACCCAAGTCACAGGAGGGCAATTTGTTCAAGATCAATTCTCCAAACAGAATACTCTCATGTTGGGGGATGGAGAGAAGGGGGGATCCTTGTCTTTATCTAACAATTTCTTTAAAAACATTTCTGACACAAAGTTACCTCGGTGACATCCATAACTTTGATGGCTGCCAGCTGACCTGTTTTAACATGTCGGCCCTGAAAAACAGAGAAAAGAAATATAATTGGCACCACTGTTTTGCACAGTCATTTTAACAGCTGAAATTTCAACAAATCTTCTCTTCAGTACTTTTTCCCAAAAGTGATGATAAAATGGTCCCCCCCTGCTCTCCAACGAAACAATACAGTTTGTAATACCAATGAACTACACTTAATAAACAAAACTAGAACAAATGAAATTTGATAAAGTGTCAATTCCCTCTTTCCTTACTGGGCTTCATTTATATATCATTACTCTCAATCCAATTAACTTAAATGTTTTCTTCTTTATGTCAAGGAGACCATTCTTTCTTTTTTAACATTCTACATGAATGAAGTGACCAAAAAACTACCAAAAAAACCTCTAGATATTATAAAAAATGGACAGTAGTCATTTTTCCCATGTACTTCCAATACCCATTACTTGATTTTACAAGTTATACTAAGAGTCTTCTTTGAAACTTTATTGCAGTCCCAGTGTAGGGAAGCTTAAGAATATTTATCCAGAATAAAGAGAATGTAGAAAGAGATTGGGGTGACACAAAAGAGTTTTCTTACAGCTGTATTACAATTCCTGACCTATGGCCTAAAATCTTTCATCCACTTATATCAGCAGGTGTTCTCAAACAAATGTGACATCATTCTCCTCTCACCCAGATGAGGTGCACTGTGTTTATTACTGTCAGTCTTGTTCCTCTCCACTGACTATGCAATGCTCTGCTGATAATCACTCAGGCGAGTAACAAAGAGCTACCCACGTATCCTGAGCATGATCTGTGCTGTGGAAAACGGTCCTTCTGCAACCAATGTAAAACAGAAAGGACATCCCCCTATTTTCCGAGAGTCTGTCTATTCTGTGGTCTCGTGAGTTATTAACTTTAAAACTTAAAACCTGAGGAAAGCTCTCTGTTTATTCTGGAAAGCTTACATAGGAACTGAAGTTACAACTTAAGACAATTACACGAAAAAGCATTGTATTACAATTATATCTCAATTATACATGGTCATGGAGGAATGGAGTCCAGCAGGTTCATGGGCAGGAACCATAAAACTTAACATACACAGGAGACCAGGACAAACTGAATCCACAGGCCAAGACCCTCACCCAACTCTCCCCTACCTGCAGGCACCACCTTCCTCTGCTGTTCCCAGCGTGAGCTACCCTCCCTATCTTCAAACATGCTGCCATGTGATGTGGGCACCATCTCCAACACCACACACACCAGTGGTCCACTCTAAGGCTCTGCCTCTGAGGTGGGCAGGGCTGTCCCACACTGGTTCATGTACCAAGGAACTCTGCCTACCTCCCCTTGCAGCCTTGCCCCAGATGCCATTCCGTAAGTGTGCCTCCACAGACCCCAATGCCACCTCAGCACCCCATTATCACACAGTCTTTAACATCACTGCATAGCCCTGTAGAATGTCTGGCACTCTTCCTGCATTCACAGGAGGGTGGCCCCCAATCCTGGATGAAATGTTATCCTGTCTATATGTTACCATACAGCATACAATGATCTAAGAAACCATTTGACAACTATAGATGCTCCATCTCAGAGATGCACAGGGTGAATATAACTGACAGAAAAGTCATAATTCAGAACATTGTCTGGGTTTACATATTCCTGATTTTTACTGCCATTTTTTACTACCTCTCTATCCAAGAGTCGGTACCTTTCAACACTGTCCCCTCAGAATCACTCATTTAAGTTTCCAGGTATGTGTGTTAAAGACTTTTTTTTTTTTGCTTTGTGTCCCACAGCCCTGTGCTAAGCACTCACATGTGGGAAACAGAGCTGTCCCTCCTGGCCTGGGTGTGGCAGGATCCTGCTGCTACGGGACCACAATACAGATCCCGGGCTCCAGATTCAAGACTGCATCCACACCTGGTCTCCTCTCGTGACAGAGGCCCGGGCATGGAATGGTGCCTCAGCCTCCTGCTTTAAGAGGGGCAGGATGGGTGCCCAGTTTGTATGTTTAGTAAGAAGGACACCAGAGGGGCAAAGGACAGTGCATGACATCTGGCCAAGGGCAGCCTTGACAGGAGGATTCCACTGGCCATTGTTTCCTTCAACTGGTAATAGAAAATAATATATTGGCAAATTATCGAGCAACTCCCATGACTATGACTGGTAAGACAATCAATCGTGAAGCCAAACTATGATTTCTTTGAATCCAAGAACAGAGTAGAACTTAAGAAGACAGAGTATTAAGGAATCCTCCATACCTTCCATGTAACAAACACAAAAGATCATCTCCTTAGCACCCACCCAGTCAGCCCTCAAACCTGAAAACACACACCTGTTACCTTTCCTGTGGTAGGATTCCTTCCAAATTTCTGAAGCTAATTTCTTGCTGACAGAACCACGCAGGGAGAGAATTGTACCAGGAGTTGCCCCGCTTTCCCTCTTTTCAAGAGGTTAGCAGTGTTGTGCTGGGAATGTGTTGGTAAGATATGGGGTAGCATAGGTCTTCTGAGTTCCGATATGGTAATACTTAAAATCCATAGGGAACAAGAAAAGCCATAGATCTACAAAAAAACCTCTCGCGATGTTTGTGCACTAGCAGTAACTTCTTTTTTCCCCCTCTATGCCTGAACTCAAGGCCACAAGTGTATTCACAAGACTTGGCAGTTTGATGGCGGCATAAAAGCTGAGTCATGAATTCACTCAGTATTTGCTCTATATAAAACATGAGTTTCCCTTACTGAAGGAATATAGAATCAGGACCTAACAACTAACCGGTTACTTCTGTGTCAGAGGACAGACTACGCAAAAGCAGCAGTCTTCATCAACACATACTACACCTTCCAATATTGGGTCCATTTTAAATTTAAATTTAAATCAGAAAATATCTTAGCATTCTGCTTCCCTCCTTTCTAAGAAACAAGACAACGTTCTGGGAGAAATGAATCTAGGATTCAGGCAGCTACCTTTACCTATCATTCCTCTGTTACTGAGATAGGGACCATGGATGTAGTCAGAGTAGGGTGAGGGCCTCCGGAGGGGGCAGGGCAGGATATTTGCAGTCAGAGCAATGTAACTACATCCAAGAAAACCCCCTGCTAAAACTCTATGTTAAACATTAAGCTCTAGAATCATTCTTCAGTGAGATCAGATAATGTTCCCCAGATAAAGAGGAGTAGCACGTTTTATTATGCTAATCATTTGTAACCAGTGTAAGATTCACTTTAACATACTAAAATGCCCAGGCCTATGTGCTGTCTTTCCTCCTTCAGATCTGACGAGGTGATTTTGCAAACTGGGCAACTTACTTAGCATGCACCAGCTGTAAACAACATAGTAAAGGCAGGAAGTACTCCATCTTAAAGATAAGATTGCATTTTAACACCCAGGACATTCCAGAGGCAGGATTCTTTAAAAAATAGACAATACCTCGGCCCACCTTGGGGGCTGGGCAGGCAGCCTTTTGATATGCTCCCAGACCAAGGCGCCAGTGTCCCAGAAAGAAATCAAGGCAGGAAATTTCTTATGTTAAGTTAATTTTTAATATTCAGAGACCACTTAACAAGTCCACACCCCTATCTCAAAAAATCCTCAACTGCCTATAAAACTCCCTAGACAATGCATCACTAGAGACTCTCTTGTCCCCTGCTGGCGTGAGCCAGGAGCTCTGTCCTTTCACTTAATCTCTAAATAAAAGCCTGTACCTTGCTCTCCTACCTTGACTGTTTGTGAAGCTCATTCTTCAGCTCCGCAAACAAGAACCCCGGCATCACTACCACCTCATGACTGTATTTTCTTGAGAAAATTCCTTAACTTCCACAAACTTCCTAGCATCACTGTAGGATCCCATGTGTTATGGTACCTTAAGTCCTCTCTAGAATAAGGGAGGCAATAAATAAAGCAGAGAGTACATAAGGCCCGCCATCCTATCTGGCATGTGGTGGGCCCTCAGGTAAGTCTGCCTTTCCCCACTCCCACCACAGACCCATGCTGATTTCCTGACCCCTTTTCTCCCTGAGCCTGCAACCACCTCAAACCTCGTCAGTTTAGGTCTACTTCTCATTTTCAAAAGGCAGGACCAAAAAGAGGAATGTAGCAATATGCTAAAGTAATGTATTTCTCTAGTTAGTGAGGAGGAGGAGAAAAAATCTCTAAATATGAAACTAACAGAAGTACTCCTACCTATCTGCTGAGACGGCCCATCTTTCTGTAAAGGACAGCCAGCACAAAATCCTGAGGAGCAAAATTAAAGCCAGAACTGAATGTACTAACATTAATATGCACATAGGTGTGTGCTAAAGCGCTTACATGAAGAGGGTTTTGAATGGGTAAAATGTGTCTGGGGTTTACTCAACACTACCAAAGAGAGAATATATTAATGAGTCTCCTTGTGGAGAGGGCTACAAGCTTACGTCTGCAAAAGCCAGGTGCCCCCATCCATGTGAGAAGCCCTACCCATGCTCCCTGGGCACCACCTCAGCTTTAACATTGGCCCACTTTCAAACTGCCTCAGCAGTGTAGGCAAGGACAGATAATCGTAACCACTGAACTGGGCTAGGGACTTAGGGGTATAGAAAAGGCACTGTTCACTGAAGCCTGAGGCACCAGGACACAAAGCACCAGGATGTCCCCACTCCTGGGATATGTAGAACAAAGCACTTTATATGCATTATCATTTACTCTTCATGCAACCCAATGTATGTATCATTACTCCCATTTTATAGATGGAGAAACTGAGGCTTTGTTTTTGAAAAAGTTAATCTGCTCAAAAATCACACCCAGACTTTTCCCTATACCAGCCAGGCTGTGGACTTTGAAACACCAATGACCACAAATGTCCTATTTAACCAAATTACACAGGAACTGCCAAGTATACTATTTTTACCACATAAGTTTTAAGTGATTATAATCAAACATGGCAACATGGTAACCAATAATAAAAACTTATTTTCAATCCCTGGCCTTTACTCTCCCCTATGACAAACCAGAAAAAGTCAAAAGAACATCCTGAAGGAATTCTCTAGGGACCCTGAAGTC